TATATATATATATATATATATATATATATATATATATATATATATATATATATATATATATATATATATATATATCATCGGCATAAAATTCGTTGCAGAAATTATATTGTCCTAATAATTGTCATATTTTGATATTTATATTCATTCTGTGAGCATAAGAAATTATATGTGATTTTTTTCTGGATTTAATGTTTATGGGACGTTTGGATATTAATTAATTAATTAAAAGATGATGAAATGCATCATTTCAAATAATAACTATGTGATATTTGTCAATTGGAAATTATGACGAATTTCATACAATTTTTGAAATAGTGCCTGTTTATGTTTCATCTAGTTTTCTCAGCTTTTTTTTTATTCCACTCTTTATCAAGTGCTATTGCCGTTTCTTCTCTTTTCCTATTTCACTTTAACAATAATCTCTATCGTTATCATATTGTTACATTATCAAAAATAAGCTCATCAACTTTGTTTTTTTTCTCACTTTTTGTTAATTATTACTATCATTATCTTCTTTTTTTCTTTACCATATGAATCTATTTACTCATTCCTTTTCATATTTATTGATATGTTATTTAATGGTTTGATTATATTACGAAATTTTCATTTTTCAAATGTTTACATATCTTAGAACATTTTTTTGTAAATAAAATCATTGATTGCAGAGACAAATTTTTCTTTGATAAGAAGTCAAATGCTTTCAAAGGAGAAAAAAAATATTTTGATAACAAATATCTTGATGTATATGTTTTATTTCGTCATTTGAAAAGGAAAGAAGAGGAACAAATTAGAAATAGAAGAATGATGTGTTTATTGGAAGTTATATATTATATATATGTAATTTATAGGATGGGTGAATGAATTTCGTATTGGAAGAAATGGTTTGTGATGATCATTAATTGATGGAAAAAAAGCGCAAAATTTAGGTAGAGATCGGAAAAAATCTTAGCCTTATTTTCAGTAGTCAATATCAAATATATTCAAGATGACACAATCACTTGGGAAACATTTGTTTTTAGGAGAAACTTTGAGATGAACAAAACAATAATCATGTGCTTATTGAATTTTTTCTTGGAGGGAATGAAGAGAAATCGAATGAATTTTTTTGGTTTGATGCCAATCAGTCATTACTGATTATTTTAGCTTTTTGTTACCTTGATTGGTTAGATTTTGCTAATAATGCTAATACTTCTCTCCCCTTTCCAAACTTATTATGATCTATAAGATATGAGTCCATGTGAAGTAAGTAAAAAAAGAAGGAACAAGTAAAGCGCAAGTAATTAACTTCTCAGTGAAATACTAAGCTCGTCAATTGTTGCTATACTTAATTTAATTTGATGTTATTTTTTTCTTCTATTTTTTAGGTTCTTTCTGGTTATCCTTTATTTAAATTACTTTTTTCCTTTTTTTAAATGAAACTATCAGAAATTTATCGATTTTTCCCCTTCTTTCTCTCCTCCTTTTCTAATGTAGTTTAGACCAAATGCATCTGTATCTTCCTATGATTTGCGCTATACGCTATACGATTTTTATTTTCTTCCTGTCCTCTCTCTATCTCACCATCTTTTTTTTTAAGATTTTTCTAGAGAATAAGTTCATTTTATTCGTGAGAAGTGAGAAATGAAGAAAAGGCAGAATGCAGGATGGTAGTGTATGATTTGCTCAAGGCAAAATGAATAGCGTAGCTATTCCTATTGCTAACGCTAGTGCTACAGCTAAAGAAACTATAGATATTTTAAGTTTTCAATATTTAACCACAATTTTAGAGTGGCAGTATACATTTCCATCAGATCTATTCTATCCCTTCTTCATTTTCCCTCATTCATTTGCTTCTTATTTCCTCATATAAAGTTTTCTTTTTTACTTTATGTTTTTAGATAAGTTAATTTATATTTTTTTAATGTTTACCTCATTAAAAGTGTAATAAAGTATTGTAAGAGAATATTTAGAAATGTAACGCACATCCGTTTATATTATTATTAGTATTATGTTTGTTCCACAGTTCGTTTTTATACACTATGTTAACAATTAACGATTCATTATTTCTTTTTTTTCGCCTGACGATTGGGTTTTTTTGTTAAATCTTTTCTCAGAAAATTATTACTTGATTTATGTTTAAACAAGGCTACTTTATATGTATAATTACCATTTTATGATAATCGGTTAAAATAAATAAAACAGCTGATAGATGAGTATTAGAATGAGGTATTGACTTTAAGTATTAGTAGTATTTGTAATGGTGATCATCTAAAAGAGTATTTAAGGGATGAAAATCATCGATTTTTTTTCTTTTCAGCAAAGGTAAGAAGGAGGGCGAGAAATGAACTTGCTACTTCGGTTATCCATTTAATTCGGTTATTTCAGATATTTGCTAGCCATAAGACTGTATTACATTGGATTGTGAAAGACTTGACGGTCAAATAAGGGATAATAAGAGGTTGAAGTGTGAAACGGTGCTGATTAAATGGTTGATTTATTGATTGATAGGTTGATGATGAAAATGAAAGATAAACGTTTGCATACACCTTATTTGATTTGCATTATTTGAAATTTAAATCAAAAGAAAGAAAGGTAATCTTTCATTTCATATGCGTTAATTTCGTCGGAATCATTGTTTTCATCTTTAGCTTCATATGATTAATTTTGTTTATTCCAGGATTGGTTGATTTTATTGAACCGGCGAGTTTCCACATCTAAACCAGAGCAGAATTATTTTTGATTGGAAATATTTAGGCCTACTGCTTAATTCGGTAGGGGGCTATTATCCATATTAGCAATAAAGGAGCGCGAAGTTGTTACGACCTCGGTCCAGATACGCTGCAGGGTTCGAGCGTGTGTGGACTTTGATTTTGGCTTAGAAGCCCGAAAAAACCTTGAAAATTTCGCCAGAAGAGTACACAGACGGTTCATCACCGCCTTCAAGTCGAATTTCTCAGTCGGTTCGTTCATTTTCCCTTTTCTTTTCAAATCATAAAGTTACTGCTGAAATATTCTGTGTTACTGACTGTATAGATAAATTCAATTTCTGTTTTGTTTTTCAGGTTATACGAGAGCTTTGTATCGCTCTGCTATCTTCGGATCCTATCCCGCGTCCAGGCAGCACCCAGATTAAGCTTGACGTAAACGCAGAGCCTCCGTGGGATCCTGATCCACTTTGCTAACAATCGTAAGTATTTTAATTCATCATTATTGTGAAATATATATATCGAGAAAGGATGAAATTATTAATTTAGTAGCAAGTAGTATACGAAATTCAAAAGACTTAAAGGCTTACCTGCGGAAAGCATAAATTCTTGTTTATCTACCATGCAAATTTCATGATGTTGTAACATTCAGAAATTTTTCTTTCAGCATTTCTGGCTTTTATCAAAGTGGTTGTGCCTTGCTAGAACACTCGAAAATTTCTTCACTTGATTACACTTATCAAATAGTTCACCCCTCAGTTTCGGCTTCACTTCCAGCTGAAAAACCGTGCCACTGGACCGAAGTCGTTAAACGTCGTACATTTTGCGTCCGTTTGTACAGACCACCTTAATCCACCTAGACTTCAAGAAGTACATAAATACTGTTTCTTTTGTTTTGCTTCATTTTCGGAAGATTTTTGTAATTCAAAATTTCTTGGGTTTTTTGACTTGTATGATTTTTCTGTAGTGATATGGCTTTTTTCTTCATTTTTTCAGTCACGTTTTATCGGATTATTGTCATGGCACCAGTACCTTCGCTGGATATCTATAACAGTTACAACTGCGACGAAGTTCATCACTCTGCGAGTCTAGTTAAGCAGTGCGATTTAAAAAGTATCTACGGTGATGGCTGTTCTGATGCGATTCGAAAATTAGTAATAACTAAAGTCGCTAAGGTACATTTATGCATTAATTTTCTCATATGAATTTTACTTTATATATTTTTATTCTGAGAGAGAAAAGAAGAAAGGAGAGTGTTAGTTTAGCATCCATATTTAAGAATTTTTTTTTGTGACATCCGGATGTCTTGGAAAGTTGATGGAATTCTACGACAGAGTTAGCAGTTGAAATCGTCATAGGTATTCCAAGAACAGATATAATTGGAATAAACTGTAATCAGCCAGTAATCTGATTTCGGCTAACATCTAGAGCACGATTTTATCAATTAATGAGTTGGTTTCCAAATGGAAACAAAGATTTTCATGATTCTCGTATTTCTCGAACTGTTTTTATGCAGTTCTTTTTGGAATATTATTCTTGGTCATGAAAAATCGACATTACAGCAGAATCACAGTATTTGGAACGACAAAACTTGCTGTTGTGGTGATAGTATTAGATTTATATTGGAGCTAAATCAAGATAACATATGTTTATAGCAGCTTATTGCTTGCTGATTCTTCTTTTCAGCCTGTTTTTGCATACATTTTACATTTATAATTAATCTAGTTGCAGGGTAACTGTGATCCATTTTTTGTAATGAATGTGGAACTTGTCGATGATATCCTGGAAAACTGGTTCAAAAAAATGCCGGATGTTAAGCCATACTATGCGTTGCGGTGCAATCCAGACAATATCCTACTAAAACTACTCACTCGAAACACCGATATGGGTTTATGTTGCAGCAATCGATATGAAGTTGAAATGGTTGGTTTTTTCTGTTTCAATTTTAAATTAAAAACTATCATAATCGTATAAGTGAACAACAACTTCGGTATCAACTAGGCAATTTATTCGAGTGTGACGGTTAACATGTAGTAGTACTTTATGAATTTCCTTGAAATTTTAGACCTTGTGATATTCTGTCATGCCCTGATATTTTATACGTGTAAATGTTTCTTTATGAAGTCGTATGAGAGATAAATGTAGTATTGAGTAGCGGTATATAAGTGATATAGCATCCTTGTGGAAACTAAGATAAAATTGAAGGCAATGAAAATTGTCAATGTGGATCGAATCATTTATGGAAATCCGTTGTGGACACGTGGCAGTATTCGTCATGCTAAGGAATGTGGCATTCAGACAGTTATTATTGAAACAGAAGATGATTTAAAACGTTTTACAACTTATTATCCTGAAGTAAGTATAATTTTACGCGTAACAATGGATCGCAAACTGGTTAGTGATCCTTTTACGGAAGACAACTTTGATGTCGAGAAAGCTGTCAGTTTGCTCCGCACGATAAAGGATTCATCAGTGAAAATAAAAGGCGTTAGGTACGTAAATTACTTTCTTCGATTTCCGTATTTGTGATTGAAATTAATTATCAGGTAAATGGGTCATGAATATAGGATTGGTTCGTCAAAGTGGCTAATCCTAGCGTATAATTCTTCCTCCAAAAACAAATAGGAATAACTAAGTAGCAATATGTTAATGTGACTTTGGTCCATATTTCGATTCGCCAATACTAATAATCTTTCCTGCAGCTAATTAGGTGGCATATTTGTTCAATCGGAAATTGTTTTAGCCTTTCTGTACGTTCAATCTGTACAACACCAACGATGTATTTATATGCAATTGCACAGTGTCGGCGATTGTTTGATACTGGACTCGAAGTAGGCCATAAAATGGATGTTCTGGATGTTGGTGATGGATTTCCAAGTATGTCTGCTACCGATGGCATATCATTTGATCAGATTGCTAAGTCGTTGCAAGTTGCACTTGCACTTTTCTTCCCATCGAAGCTCTTCAAAGACATAAAAATAATTGCTGAACCAGGCCCTTATTTTGCGGCTTCTACTTTTTCTCTGATCACTCGTGTCATCGACAAACGTTTAATTGATGGAAGTTTTCTCACCAATGATGGTAAGTTTGTATATGAACGCATAACAACTATGGGGACAATATCAGATACTTCGTCTTTCCTGTCGATTTTTGCTTGGCAAAAAAAGCTTGCTGACGTTTCATTTCAAATTTTCGTAAGATACATTTCAGTAAATTAGAAAGTTCTCTTTTTTTGGAAAGGTCATTAAGGTCATTAATGGAATTATTTCCAAAAAAGGAAAGCTTCTGCAAGTAAGTAAATGAGCGAGTAAAGTAAGTTAGATTTGAAATTATAGTTCCAAAATTTGTCAGTTGTAGAATCAGACGCTGGTACAGTCGGCTACGTTTATCAGATTAATGAAGGATTTTATGGCGCATTTGGTTGTAAACTTTCGACTCGCCGTAATCCTATCTGTTCGCCGTTAATGATTTTCGGCGAAAAAATGAACACATATGCAGCAATCATTGGTCCAGAACCGTGTGATACGGATATCGTCCTACCGCTGACGAGACTTCCACCTCTACAGGTTGTATATTATTTTCATTCATGAATCTTACTTAAATACCATACTAATAGCAAAAAAAAGGTGTGGTTCTTGTGTTATGGTATAATTGGAAGCTAAATGTATTGCTGAGCCTTCGTTTTGTTTTTCTTTATTTATTACCAACTTATTTCACCATATTCATAAATAAGAAACTTTGTTTGCTGTTGGAAAGCCGTTTTCTTTGCAACAGCAGTGATTTCATTATCTGATTGAAGGTATTTTTAGGTGGGTGACTGGCTGATTTGGCATGATATGGGAGCTTACACGATTGGTAACCATGACACATCCGAACGAAATGATCCACCACTGGTTATTTACTACCACTGCAATGGCGAAAAAACAAAGTAATTAAATAATTAAATGTTCGACTTCTGAATTTATCTAAGCTTCTGCTGAAATCGCCGAAGATTTTAGTCTATTATCAATAATACGCAGAGGAGACGATGCGCGGTGTCTAATCATTTTAAATCTGTTTTAGTGGATGAAATACCTTTAATTCATCCAATAATACATAAGTCCATAACGTTGCTTTAATCGGAGTATACAGTTACCTCATTACTCGTCACCGCATATTTCGAATGTCGAATAGACAGAAATACTGTTTTCAGCAATGGTTTTTCACTTTTCATTGTGCTTCTATGATGCGCTACAGTGTTTTAATATTTGTCACATATGGTCACTCTAATAAATTTCAGGACTTTTTTTCCGATCCCAAGAACTCTTCCACTTGAAGATGTACCAAGTGAGACGTGCAGTTCTTCATATAATTATGTACGCGATGCTTCGGGATCCGAACTTATCAGTCACACAGATGCTATTAGTACCGTCGTGAAATAATTCAAGACAAAATAACTTGATGTCTTCCTGAATTTAGGATACTTCAGATGGCATGAGCCGCTGAGGGGTGAACTTCTTATAATTGGAAAAGTTTGTTATTGGAATGAAGCTGTCCTTATTGCTATCTATCTCTATCGTTTTAAAGCATTTGTGGGCATCATAAATTGTGAACTTATCCTAATCATTTATACTGCTGTTGAGTGTTGTTGGGTTTGTATGTTTGTGGTTTGCTAGGTAAATCATCATTACTTTTTTTAATGAATTTAGACAAGGAGTTGCTTGTTTATTGAAATTGTTTTTGTATGTGGCGATTTTTGTCACTGGTAACAGTGACAAGAGTTTTTATTTGATCTGCATGTTCCGGTGAATTTTCGTATCGGCTCTTTCTATAAGCATATTTCGTAGTTTTCGCTTCTGCAGCGCTCATTTGTACCTCACTTTATTCCGCAAATTCAAATTTCTTGAAATTGAGCTAAATCGAGTTGTTGATTTGCGATTTGATGCATTAAGGAGTTTTTTGGACAAACTGTACGAATAGCTTTTGCAGTACCATCTCTCAACTATTCTTTTGTCTTTGTGGAGGCCATTTTTCTTCGCTTCTTTACTAAATTTTTTTTTGATATGTAAGTCAAGTTTTGCTTGCTTGTTGATTGAAATTATTTTGGATATATGATTCAATTTCGTTGTGTTTCCTTTTCTTTTTCGAGGTTTTGCTGTGAAACTAATAAATGATGAAGTTACCATGGATGGATATCATTATACAGAATAATGCTAACGGTGCTAAAAATAATAGCTAAGCAAAAAGATTAAAATGATAGCAAACCTGCAAGTAATAGTTGTACTCGATATTAATTAGCCTTGCTGGTTAATAACGCTTCAAGAATTAAGTGATATTGACGATTTACTTAATATAATAATTAAACTTCAAATGTTACAATACAGAAGTTTTAGATGTCGACCATAATAAGATTAATAATGGAACAAGATATCGGGTGAGGAAAAACGAGGAACTTAAGATAAATGTGATAGATAAGTGAAGTAAAATAAACTATCTAAATTTATTAGAAATCACCCTGAAACGAAAGAAGATTATATAATAATATAATTATCCCACTGAAATGTTTTTAAGGTTAAAGTTTGCGTCGTTAAATTAATGTAACAACTAGGAACTAAATATTCAAAAAAAGCATATAACAACAATGCACAATTGAAATTATAATTAAAAGATAACTTACGAATATAAACCATATAAACTGAAATTATAATTAATAAATAAATTACGAAGGCAAAACTATCATAAAAATTTTATTGTGATTTCTACTTTTTAAAATGTATTAAGAGAAGGCACATCAGGTTGATATCGTTGGTAGCGTAGCATTGACGAACTGACAATTCACGTTTTAATATTGATAATACCACGTTTTCTTTAAATCCTTGAATGATGAATGCATTCATTCATCTTCCCTATGCTCCTTTTCTTCTCTTGATAACTGAAAAATTAAAAACTTTGATGATACAGAGATATAGATGGTATTTCGGAATCGATGAATTTCTTATAGATTGATTTTTTTTCTTTGAAATTATCAATAAATAGATTTTTCTTTGATGAATTTAATAGTTTTTTTTTGTTCTTTTCTGAAGAAAGGAAAGAAAAGAACGATAAATTTCATTGGTACAAATATTATCCCCACAGTAATAATTCTTTATGTGCAAGCATGATAAACTCTAATAATTGATAAATTTGGAGAAATAAAGTTATTGACTACCATGCAAAATTCGAACTTGACTCAAGTAAATGATTAGGTCGAAACAAATTTAAAATAACTTGGATGAATTATTCATATCCTTTGAAGAAAAAAAAATTTAATCTAACACTAAATTAGTGACTTATGTGTGCACGGGCTATAGTTCAGCAATTATAATATTCACTATTCACGGAACAAACCATTCAACAGTTGATTTCCACTCATCTGCCAATTGAGTTGTTTGAAAGGAAACCATTTGAAAGTTAATTCAAAAATAATTTATTTTTTTAAAATGAACATACGAATTTGACTGATGCACCAAGCGGTCTATCTCCTCGATTACAAACTTCTCGAAAATCGTAGTCATCAAGGAGTGCTGGACTTGATACTTGAACCATACCGGTATGACCTTTCAGCGCAAGATCAAGAACTGGTGGAATACAATTTGAGAGGAAAGATAAATAAAGTCCTGGACTCAAAAAGGAACACTGCAAAAGCAAGGAAAATGGAATGATGAATTTTCTACATCATGACGACTAAGTATTAAGGAATTCAGCATTTGATGAACTAAACTTTTTCCCTTATTCGTTTCGGAATTTCTACTTCTACTTCCGAATTTCTATTTTCGTCAACAATCATAGTAAACCAACAAATTAAAAGTGCATCGCAATAATGAAAAAAAAAAATCATGTCAACTGATTATTGATTCGAAAAATAATTCGTTCAGAATTTAATGAATCAGTAAGCAATAGGTTTATTAAGTTTTGTGAGTACCTTTCTTTTCATTATGATAAAAATAAAAAATTGTTCATCATTGGAATTGCCTGTCTGTTTAAATCATTTTTACAAGAATCAAATAATGTTACCCCTATTGGTATTATCGTACCCAACTCTTTTTCGTCATCGACCACAATTTCTGTGCGGCAGAATAGAATCTTATCGAACTTTTGCAACAAACGACAAGCATATATATCAACAGTCAACATATCGAACGTATCATAACATGGATCATACTGCTAAGAATAATTAATGGAAGTAAATTATTTTGAGAAGTGAAAAACATGGAAATTCCTGACTTCGATGATATATTCTATAATTATTAAATCCTTCAAGAAGTTTTTACTTCTTGAAAAATAAAGGCTAAGAGCGTTAGGCTGATTATCGATTTTAAATTTGATAGCCAATTATCAATTTTGAATTTAATAAAATGTCCTATAAAAATGTTCTACTTCGGGACTGGAGTATAATAACAAACACCAATAAATTACCTCTCCTTCATGTTCTGGATAAGGTGTTCTGATAAAATCTTCGTCAGAAAAATAAACCGAAGTTAAATAGGTGAAATGAATTGAGCGTTTCTCACAAAATGATGCCAAAAACCAGGGAGCGTAAATCACTGAATATGTTTTAGTTTTCAGCATTGCTGGAATATTGGGCTTGACTTCAGAATCATACGAAGGTGCTGAAAATTCTTTTTCTTATAATCTGTTCATACAAATTTTCTTTTTCTTTCCATGTGGATGTAAACAATATGACTTGGAAAGTGTTAACATATCTTATGATATATTCAGTTCCGCTATATTGTAAGAAACATTGAATTTGGAGAATTCTAAGATGTTCCAAAACAAACGATTATTCAGGATCATTTATGGGAAATTTAATAACAATTAGATGGGCAACATGAATTAAACTGTTAGATATCTATATCAGACATGAAACAGCACCTTCTGACGTACTGGGAAAGTTGATGTAAACAATATGACTTGGAGATACACTAATTATTTCGTTAATGTCAACATCACACGAGTAAAATGGACGATTCGTAATGATAATGTTTTCCTTCTGTATTGATTCCGGCAAATATCTTTTCTGAAACCATTATTTACTACAAGAGTTACCCGCCATTTATTATAGAACGACGTTCCTCTACGTATACATTTAGAAATATACAATACTACTTTCTCAATAAGGACGACCTTTAAAGTAAGAGTCAATAAACTGACCTTATTCTCGATTAATCTACTAAGGCGTTTTAAGGCGAAGTCAGTACCATAGACAAGGATTTTATGCGTACTAGCTGTATTCATTTCATTCCACTGATTTTCATTTTTGACGAATATTTCACGTATTCCTTAAATATAGAAGCATAACATTGGACAGAATAAAAAAATCTAAAAGTCGTTTGAAAAAAATTCTAATTAATACTTTTTAACTGCTAAAATGCACAATTTAACCCTCTGATTGCAAGATTTTAGCTTTCCAAAGTAATTCAAGTTCAGCTTTCATTGATGACATTGTCGGAGGAAATATACTGATTTCATCACACGAAATTTCACCGTTTTTAAGCTAAAATCATTCGTTGTCAAGAAAAGCAAATAAATAAGTAGATTTAGACAAACGGTACGGTATAATTCGTTGAAATTGCAAATGGCATTGAATGACTTATCAATCACAGAGAGTACGAAACAGATAAACATACTTTCTGATACTAAAATGGAAGACATTTGTCCATATTTTTCATGAAATTAAAAATAAACCTTCGGAATAAGTTGGACGAAAGAGGGAGAACAATCGCATTTACCTCCAATGTTATAGACTTCACCAATTCGACCTCTTTCTAAGGCAGCTCCGATCCCAACTACAGCGTCCTGAATGTGTAATAAACCAACAGTTCCACTTTTTTCAATATTATCTGCAAGCAAACAAAAACGACAAATTTGAGGAAGAGGAAGATTTCTGACTATAAATAAAACAGTGTAGAAGATTTGGATGGTGGCATAAAGAAAAGAGAGAAGTAATAAGCTTAAAAAGCCGATAAAATTGATAAATCATGAAAGTTTCGTTAACTGTGAGACAATGATATGAATTACATGAATTGACCAAATACAAAGTGTTACTCAACATTTCATTGCATATTTATAAGTTTCTACATTTTACTTTTACCCTGTTCTAAATATAATGATGGATTATCATCCATTACTCCACCGTAGATAACCGCTGATAATCGTACAGTAAGAGCAGGTATACGATAACTAATAAGATAAGAATGAAGCATCATTTCACAAGCATTAATCGCTGCTCCCTTAAGTGAACATGGCTTTGTTGCTATCGTCTCCGATTTTAATGCTTGCTTTCCGTAAACCTAAATTTGAAATGTTTAATTAAAAACGTGGAAAATTTACATTTTTCATTCCATAAAGGAAAAACTCACACTGAAGATTAAAAGTCAGAAACAACGAAAAAATATGATTTTGGATAAAGATTTTTTTGGCAAAAATAAAGTGAATTTCATGTTTTTGTAGCTCATCACAATTAAATGACTAAAAATAAAAATTAATTAACATTAGTCGGACAAAAAAATAATATACAAAGAAAAAGAACTAATACTAGGAACAACTACTGCAATAGTTGCTCACTTCTTCCGAACTGATAAGAATGAATTTTGCCAATTTCCCATAACATCGGATAGTTTCCAGAAATTGTGTCATACAGGATAACGTTTTGCGGAAACATTCTGGATAATCATTTTTAGCAGCAACAGTATTAACATCATCATTCCAAACGTTGAACAACACGGTATTGATCTATAGCAAAAAAAAAATTTAATCAGTTTAATTAGCACGATTATTTTCTCAATATTAGGTATCAAGAATTTCAACTGACAACAATATCAATATTTCTCTATGGAACATATATCTAGGAATTAGAATTATATTAAAGCATATATCTACTTGGACACATCCTAATTATATTATGATTTTTTTTACAATTTTCGCGAGCAAGTAATAACATTTAGTTAAATTTGAAAACCTTCAAATTTTCAATCAAGATTTAGCAACTTGTCAAAATTTCAGAAACTAATAATTATGTAAAATCCCTAAAATACTATATCAAGCTGTTGGTCAAATCAGTGACGATTAAGTATGATATTTCCTTAAGTATTTTTCAAATATTCTGGGTTTTATCAGGATAAGATATATTGTTAGTTTAGATTAAAAAGCAATACAGCATTAACTGATCCAAAAATATTCATCTAAATACCATTTCCTGATGTTCGGAAAATAGATCATTGGAGTAAAACAATCAATACTTTACGTTACTTCTAGCTTACAAAGTCAATAGTGTTATTTCAATGAATAATACAACTGCCATTTATTCAAGAAAGATGTAAACAATACGAAACTAGTAATTTAATAACTGCAACACTCTACAATACCAAAAATAAAAATCACTTCTACCTTTTGTTCCACCAATATTTTCGTCACCAATTCATAATTACCAGAACTACCAATGATAATAGCACACTGCTGAGGATAATTTTCAACTTTTTTCAAAATTTCATTTGTACAAGCTGTGTTAGATGATAAATCGAGAATTGTTAACTTGACATTCGGATATTTTTCCAACAGATATTCCGTAATATGTAAGCCAATATAGCTAAGACCACCAACAATTAGATAATTTAACTCGTCGGCCATTTAAATAATATCCTGGAAAAGAATAACGGAAGAGATTATTTGAATAATTATTTTAAAAAAAAGTGAAATTTTCAAAGATTTAAAAATTTTCCTGGAATTTTTTCCCGAAACTTAAAATATTCAATTTGGATGATCATTATTATATGTAGATGATGCAATTTGGCTATTGTTACTATTACTATTATCATTATTATTACCATTATTATTATTACTGTTATTATGTTTATTATTATT